CTACTTTTACAGCTAATGACGATGAGTCCACGCGCACCTCCTTCCGTTTCGAATTTGCAACAACCATCAACACCCATAGATCATTTGTTGGACAAGAACACGCCGGCGCCTACGCCCACCGACCAGCATGATAATAAAAGCATCACAACGTCACCGTATGTGCGGCCGACGCCAAGCGTTGAGCCGCCGCCATCTGTTGAGGGTGGCAACGGCGGTATGGGTGGCCTTGGACCGAATGGCCCTGGCAGCGTGCCACAACCGCCGAGTGTAGGTCGCAATACACCCACTATTTCTAGCCAGCAACAGCATCAGCAACAACACCAAGGGCCACAAGCACAAATACTGGGCTCATCCGCGGAGACCGCTGTCCCTCAATGTGGCAGCATAACAATCAAGAAATTTGAGTTGCAGCAAACGTCTTTACCACTATTCAGCACTGAGCAAGTTAAAACTGAGCCAGATTATGGTTCAACATCCATGGCGGGTGCTTGTACTCGTAACGGCCTCCCTATGGTGTCTGCGGCATCTGGTATTTCAGCTGCAGACGCGATCAATGATTACTGGAAATCTTTTAAGATGCCTGAAATCAAAGTAAAGGATATCGATAGTTTCGCGAATGATGATTGCTCAAAATTTGATGTTTTGTACGACTTTACGTTTCAGAATGCATGGTGAGTATTTTGGGAAAGGGGTAAACCAAAATAACCTCAAGTTCAGAGTTAATAAGGGGAAATTGCAGTTAAGCTTATGTTCATTTCTATCTTTTGGCTCTGAAAGTAAAAATCAGTGTTTGAGAATTGTCTTAATTTGCCGTATGTTTACTAATATGGCACCAGCGGTGAGGTCTCAAATACACATTCAAAAATATATGCATCAAATATCACTTTCTTTGGTGTTGTCATCTGTATTCAAATTTAAATTTCACTCTTTCAGGGCGAACCATCCAATGAAACGGTTCAAACTAAATGAAGCGGCTAAACCGTGTCGCACCATGTGCACCAAAAATTTATACGAAGGTCATACACACTCCAAGCCTCTGATGCCATCACCAGGCTCATTGTACGGCTCACAGCTACTATCCATAGACGCTTCCGTGAACCCGCTCGGCGGTACTACAATGGATGCAACCTCAATGGGTGGAGTTGTAAGTGGCGGCTTGGTGGGAATAGCTTCCCATGGAGCCAATATGGCAAATGCCAATGGCAGCAGTACGACCATTGATGGGAACAGTAGTGCAAGTGGTTACTTCCAAAGCCTGGACATACAAGCAACGGATGCACTGCAGGGTACAGCATCACCCTGTAAGGAGGGCAAGAGCAGCGCCAGTGGAAACCTTTACACAGCTGAAGGTTTAAACCCAACAATGAATGACCTGGAGCAGCTGTTCGAAACCTCGAATGACGACTGCGGCAGTGTTCAAATACACACCCCACCCGACTCGAACAATCCTTCCAATGGTACCGCCTCTACGACTACCATTGATGACCTTAAACGAAGCACTGCAGTTGCAGTTGCGGTTGCCGCCGGTGCGGTTGCTATTACTGCTTTACAAAACTGCAGTAATACAACCAATGTCACGAACTCTTTGATAAATAGTAGTAGCAACAATGGTGGCGGTACCGGCGGCCCCAGTATGATACAAGCGGAGGATTTAACAAAGATGTTTCCTACGCCTCCTTCGCACGAGCAACACCATCCCAATTCCAGTCCGTGCCAAATGGATATCCAAATGACGGATCTCAGTGTGATCACTGCATCGACTACCATGTCAGCTAACTTGGAGACGGGAATGGGAAGTATCATTAAGGTAAAACAAGAATATTCTGTTGAATTGGGCAGTCCTGTGGAGGAGCCAATCGAGGACTGGTCTTATGTTTACCGACCGCCGAAACGTGCAAAATTCGTGGGATCATCCAAGTACGCTCCCCTTACGAATTTACCGAGCCAGATGCTGCCACTGCTGTCGTTGCCAAGCAACTGCACTTACAAGCCCTCTTGGACGACGCAGAAATCTCGCGCGGTAGTGGCTGCTCAGGCGGCGGCGGCTCAGCAGCAACAGCAATTACAACAGCAACAACTACAACAACAACATCAACAGTTACATGAACTGCTAACAGCAGCGCCACGCACACCTCTCCAGCAGCCGCGAACACCTTTGGGACCCATCCCATCACCCATGCACACCAACACCGTGCCCACGCCATTGAACAGCGGTGGTGGTGGCGGCAGCAGCGGCAATAACTTATTGCTGAACCAGTTGAATTGTCCGCAAGCGGCACTCACAAATACGTCCGTCAGCGCAGGCATGCAGCAAATGATGCAACGAGTTGGCATGTCGCCAATATCGCCAGCGCCTGCATCAGTGGTTCCGTTCCCCATGATGCAGCCACAGCGCCATCCGCCGCCACCCTATGAAATGGCGGTGGCTAGTCCGGCCACTTCAACTTCTTCGTATTTAAATAAACAGTATCATTCACAAGAGCATCCGCGAACTCCACAAAGCGTTGGAATGCCTTCAACACATCTTCCTAGACCAATGAGCGCTGCCGGTAATCTTGTATCAGGTAGCGTAACGACAGGGGCGGTCGCCGCTCGAGAGTTGCCCGAAGTGAGTTCACTAATCGTCAACATTTTGCTGTATGATACTGCGTTAAATGTATTCCGAGACCACAACTTCGACAGCAGCACTGTATGTGTGTGCAATGCGGATTCCCAGAAAGTAGGCAACATACGAGGTGCAGACTCTGGTGTTTACGTGCCGCTGCCGGGCGGAAGCTTCAACCCGTTGCCACCGTCAGCGAATGGCAACAGTAGTATTGGTACTGCTGGTATAGGTGCAAGCGGTGGTGGCGGTAGCAGCAGTGTGGGTGGAGCAAACATGCGCATGTTGAGTGCTTTTGGTTGCGGAAGTGCTTTGGATTCACCAGCGTCTTTACCAGGAACATCTGGGCACACGGGGTCAGGCTCATCTTCTTCATCGGCCACACCCGGCAGTAATCAACATTTTACGGGCTACGTGGATGACGACCCTGTAGATTGCACCTGCGGTTTCAGTGCAGTAGTTAATAGACGACTTGCATTTAGAGCTGGTCTCTTTTACGAGGATGAAATGGAGATCACAGGCGTAGCCGAGGATCCCGGCCGTAATAAAAAACAATCATTGCCTTCCATCGTAGCAAACTTAGCAACAGCATTAACACCATCAGGCTCAGCTTTGAGCGCCTCCTCATTGCCTATAAAGAGCGGTAATCCTTTGGTACCTACACAAGCAGAAAAGGGGCAACATGCGCAACCAGACGCGCATGCTCTCCAAAACGCACATGTCATATTCGATTTGCTACTGGAACAGTGCTCTATAATTCAAACGTCCAGCAGTTCCATACATCGTGCGTTGCAACGTCACCGACATCGGTTGGCTAGACAAAGCCGACAGCCGCAATCTGTAGCTGCGATCTCAAATGTTCTAGAATTCGTAGACGCTAACGATGTAATATGTCTTGCGTTAGAACAAGCCAGACTGGCTTTTGAGAGCAATCGTATGGATGTAAATGAATTTGGTGGCCAGCAACAACTATCTCCTTTCCATACAGCGGGATCTGCCTCTACACGTCGTTATAAGCACTTGTTTGGCAGCCGGCTAACAGTTCACAAATGGCCGTACATTCCAGTTGGTTTCTCACGCAGCAACAAAGAGATAGTGCGTACAATGAATTTCGTGCAGCCCATGTTGCAAAATGCATTCCATTCGAAGTCGCGAAGCGCGGCCGGTAGTAAAGATGCTACTTACACTGTAAGTGGACCACTAACATGGCGCCAATTTCATCGATTAGCGGGGCGTGCCTCTGGTCAGTGTGAGCCACAACCTATACCGTCGGTAATTGTCGGTCATGACAAGGACTGGGTCTCGGTAGCCCCACTCGCTATCCACTACTGGGATAAGTTTCTGCTAGAGCCCTATGCATATGCACGCGACATTGTCTATTTGGTGGTCTGTCCTGAAACTGACTTTGCGGTGGACAATACGAGAACATATTTTCGAGAATTGAGCTCGACCTATGAAATGTGTAAGTTGGGTCGTCATACTCCTATTCGAGGCTGGGATGGCCTGCTGACTGTAGGTCCTCGCGCGCCTACAGATAACACACCAACTAGCACACCTTTAGATGATTGGCTGCGAACGTTAGATGATTCGCAATTAGCTGAGAAAATACGACTCTATGCGAGCGCATTTCATAATCAAATCGTACCGTACCTCAACCGCATCCCCGGGGACAAAACTTTACTAAATCCACCAGAAAGCAATAGCTGTCAACCGGGAGGTGGACGTGAGCGTGGTACAACTAGTCCCACAGGTACTAGTGGAATGGGAGGCGTTGATGCAGAAAAATTGCATAACTCACCGAAAATGGAAGGTGTGGAACAACAGCAACAACATCAGCAACAACAACAGCAACAACAACAGCAACAACATCAGCAACAACAACAAAATGCTCCAGAATCTACTGACATGAAGCCAGATATCAAAGCAGATGCAAAACCACCAATTGTACTTAGCGATCCATTGGGCATGGGCGAAACAATGGAGGACGTAAATCCACCGGCGATAGTGCTTTACATAGTTGAGCCATTTACCTTTGGTTCGGATTCACCCGAATTGGAGCGGTTAGCTTGTATTGCTTTGCTGCGTTGCTACGCAGAACTATTAAAATCCATACCAGACTCTGTTCGCGCTAACATGAACATCCAAATGATTTCCTTGGAATCAATAGTCGAATTAGGACGTTCTCGATCGCGTAAACGTTTCTCGGATGAAATCAGGTGCTTGGCGTTGAATATTTTCTCACAATGCCGGCGCCATTTGGTGCACGCGCAGGCCGTGAAGAGTCTAACCGGGTTCGGCACAGCCGCCAATATGGAAGCATTCCTAAAGAGTAAAGAGGATAAGAACCGGCAGCCATACAAAATGTATACGCCACCTTATGTGTTGGCTCCAATGCATGAAAAAAATGACAAAACGGATTTCTCACGCCAGTCCGCTAGCATGCGTGCGCTGAATGAACAAAAGTATTCTGTGATGTATTGCAACTATTGTCTGAGCGAAGATCAGAGTTGGTTGTTGGCCACTGTTACCGATGATCGTGGAGAGATGTTCGAAAAGATTATAATCAATATCGATGTACCAAATCGTACACGAAGACGAAAGGCACCAGCGCGACGTGTGGGGCTAAAGAAGTTGATGGATTTCATTATGGGATTAATCTCACAGACGGCGCATCCATGGCGGTTGGTGGTCGGCCGTATTGGACGCATCGGACACAGCGAACTAAAATCTTGGAGCTCTTTGCTGAGTAAACAAAATCTGCAGAAGGCTTCCAAACAACTGAAGGACATCTGCAAGCAGTGCTCATTAATGTATCCTCCAGGCATACTCAGCGCGTGCTTGGTGACACTGGAGCCTGATTCTAAGCTACGCGTGATGCCTGATCAATTCACACCGGATGAAAGGTTTTCGCAAATTTCAATGCAAAATCCGCTATCAACACCTCAAGATGTGACATGCACGCATATACTGGTATTTCCAACAAGTGCTGTTTGCTTGGTAAGTGTCATTAATAAGGGAAATTTAGTACAGTGTTCATACAGGATTTTAATTGAGTCGATTAAAATCTTTTTTTTCGGATTTCGGTGTTCACACACTGCCAATTTAGTTTACTTATCTAACGGTCAGCATTGTTGTCACAAGTAGCGATATCCGATTTCATTTTTATAAAAAAAAAAAAATAAAATAAAATTACATTTGGCCGATAGACATATGATTAACCCAATTTTTACCTTGACTATTCTGCATTTGAATCAAGTATACTGCGTAATAACTGTACTGATAAATTAGATACGACGGGCTACGAACCACAGCTGTCAAATTATTTTAACACGTACTCTTATGTAGATAATTATTTTGGCGACAACACGGCAACTCTGCGACAGCCAAAAATCTAGCCAGATTGGATCTATTTCTATTTTTCTAGCGACAGATAAGATTCTTCCTCTACTTTTATGTCAAACTCAAACAAATTCATGTGTCGCTGCCGTGTTCAAAAAAGTCATGTCGTTGTCAACAAGGCGTTTAGATTATGTAGATAAAACCTTAATGCCGTGTCGTGTGGTGATGTCTTCGATGTGTTTAGAGCTTTATTCTGTTTTACGAACGATTGGCAACACGAACGATTCCCCTGCAGATGACCACTTCTCTGATTGCGATTTATTACTCTATCGGTCGTCTTCGTCTTGCTTTTCATATATAACGTTGCATTGGTCTCGGTTGCTTTTAAACCGCCTAGAATGATGCCGCCGGACTATTTTTTGAAGCTTTCCTCTGCAGACGAATCGTTCGTGTTACCTATCGTTCGTGATACAGAATAAGGCTCTTAGTTTCAAGCTTAGTAAAGTGTGCTATTGTGGACGACTTCGAAGTCCTCCTGATGGACATAGCCATCAGTTGAGCCACAAATATAAGTATGTATTTAAGTTTATCGTCTTTATGCGGTTATAGCGGTAATAGCTAGTACCATTTCCAGTACTTCGATTTTGTCAGTAAAACATTTTACGCGTAGAACTGAGGATAACACATATGCCCCTACAATTACGGTTAAGTTAGGCTTCTCAGGCAAATAAGTACCAAAATATATTATTCTAGATTATACTCCATGTAGATTTTATGATTCCGCCATTAGGCAATGCTTAAAATATGGCATGTTGGGCCATACAATTGTGAAAACATACGTATTCAGACAAATCTAGATGCGCAGCATGGGAAAAAGAATCAATGGTCAACCATATTAGAGTGGTAAAGAAAATCTCTAGAAGAGAAACTCTCCAAACATACTTTCCTAACAGACAATACCAATTTGATTTATTGGCAATAGAAGATGCAGCCTCAGTCCGTTATAGGGCGTTTTTGTCCTTACCCACCCTGGCATTGAAATCGCCAAGAATGATTGCATATCGTGAGGGGGCAGCGGTCGTATGTGTTCTCCAAGCGCTCATAAAAGAGATCCTTGGATGCTTCGTCTTTCTCGTCCGTCGGGGCGAGGGCGCAAATGATCGAGATGTTGGAGAACCTCGCTTTGATGCGGATTATGGCTAGATTGTTGCGAATTGTGGCCGAATTTGCGCTCCTTTACATGACAGCTATAGTGGACATCGCAAGGCCCAGACATTTTTTGCCTTGCCCCGTCTGATTACTTCTTTATTAATTGGTAAGAAGGTGTTTCCAGAAGGAACTCGAATTTTCCACAAATTCTTTTGTGGTGGGGATTCATTTTTATGGTTCGCATATTTCGTTTTTCCATTCTTTTTATTGAATATGAATATCAACAAGGTTTGGTTCAAGATTGATTTGTCGTAAACTTTCAAATAGAGGTTTTTTTTGGGCCAGGCACCTGTGTCCTTCATGTGTGACCATTATGGAAAATGGGTGGAAATCAATATAATGCGGCCAGTCTTCCCCTCAAAGAAAATGGTGCTTGTTTGGGAAGGATAGGTCAAGATCGAAGCCATTACAAGATAAAATTTCGTTTTTAAAAGTATACCATTCAGATTCCAAAAGTTGCGTTTAGAAATAACATATGGCCGCGGACGCCATAGCCATCATCCCCTGTGTTTTTTTCCTAATATTAGAGTGTAAGTATAACATTTCAATGGATTGCTTCATGAAAGGTGAATATGTTGGATTTGAAAGACTAAATATTTGCATATGTTATACATGATAATGACGATCAGTTCCCCTATTTATCGTATGCAAATCTTCCTGAATCATATTTTGGCCAAGCTTTTGTTTAATGTTTTGTATATCCCTACAATAATTCAGTAATAAATTTCTCCGTTTCGGTAACTGTCAGTTTAGGATATCTGGTTGATCTAGAACAGATTCCCAGGGGGTTTTACCCTGATTTCCCTATTTGCTGCTCGTTCTGCTGGTGCTTTATAAATGTACATTATTTTACATGCAATTGAACTGTATTTTAATATATTTTTTTTTAATTATCATTGCTTTCTGAAATCGAAGGAAAGTCTGTGTCCTCAGTTGCGATCGTCAGAAAAAAAGGTTTTGATTTTTTCATGCCTGGACAAGTTTTTAACGATTCTTAGGTAGTTCTTTCTCTCCCACACACAGTGCAGGCGAGCTTCTCAGTAGATACATGGTCTAGGCTACCGCATAATATGCATTTTTTATTACACCAGTTGATGTCACAGGTGACAAGGCCACATTCGATACAACGTCTTTTT